CTATTGGCTATTTCAATTTGCAATAGCCAATAGCAAGCTGGCTATTGCACCCGCCCTCTGCTGCTGTCAGCCAGCAGAGGTGGACCTGATGGAGAACTTCAGGTCCACCTCTGTTGATTGACAGTGGGCGGGTGCAATAGCTAGTCTGCTATTGGCTATTGCACATTGAAATAGCCAATAGCAATCTAGCTATTAGTTCCTGTGACGTTTTTTGTTTTGTTTTTTCTGACTGACGGCGGCCGGCTGATCCCAATGTCAGAAAAAAAACAGACAGCATGGAAACCTTTACTCTGCTAGAGCACGCAGAGTAAACCTTTCCGGGAGAAAATGACTCTCTCCCGGGTGTCCGGGAGCCGCTATCTAATATCTAATAGTGGGAGACTCCTGGAACATCTGGGAGAGTTGAGATGTCAGAAAGTGCAGGTTTACTAATATGCAAAGAGCAACTACATTTCCTAAAGTGGAACTTGACCCACCAATTTAACCAGTTGACATCCACGGTGTTAAACCCCCTTCCCATCCAGGCCATTTTTCAGTATTCAGCGCTGCGGTACTTTGACTGACATTTATTCCGTCATGCAGCGCTGTACTGAAATTAATTTTATACCCTTTTTTGGGGACAGATAGAGCTTTCTTTTGGTGGTATTTATTCACCACTGGGGTTTTTATTTTTTTACTATATTAAGATAATTTTTGCGCGCTGGGGCACCGGGCGCGTATTTACGTTTATAGGCGCGTAAACGTGGGGGTGGGGGAGTTAAACATTTTGGGGGGTTTTTTTCCCCTTTTTTTATATGTGACTTTTATTTTATTTTACTTTTTTATATGTTACTTTTATTTTTTTTTATTTATATTAATTTTTTTGCACTTATTGTTATTGCTATTATATGGGGGGATAACAATCCCCCTATATAATAGCAAAGGCACATTGACAGGTCCTCTTTATGGAGACATTAGGGGTCTCTAGGACCCCTAATGTCACCTGTGGACCCCAAAAGAAGCTGATGAAGCAGAGATCTGCGGGCTATGGACTCGCTGATCGCATATATGTGAAACACCCGGTAACGGGTGTGTTTAATAGTCGGGTCTTTTCTGCCCGTGCGTGCCCGCTAGGGGGCGCGCGCAAGCAGAAAAAAATTGCCGCCTGGAGACGGCAACCCGCAAATGCAGCAGTGCCGTCCGTCCGTTTTTTTACTACAGGCGGACGGCAAGAGGTTAATGGTATCCCAAAACAGTTACTATTCAAGCATGCCAACTATCACAGTTGCCAGTGCGCTTATTTCAGCTCTCAACCGAACTTTCAAGCCCTCAAATGGCTGGTGTCATAGCTGATCACATGTGCAGCACCTTGGCAACTGCAATCCAAATAGACGCTAAGATGGCGCCTTTCTTGGCTATAGAGGGCAAGAGGTTGCAGTTCCACTTTAAACCTGAGCTTGGCCTACTAATGTCATCTCATTTGGCCTGCTTTAGTAAAGATTTAGCTATTCATTCATACCCACGGTCTAATCTGCACCCTGTTACGGGTCAACCACATACACAGACAGATGCAGTTTTTGGGTCAGCAAATTTTCTTTATTACCCAAAAGATATGGTTGGGTAATGAGTAGAGGGAAGTCATGCCCTGCCTGAGCAAATTAGATATAAACCTACAGCCCATACTGTTATCATTCAAATTCCCTATTTACTATGGCCTCTCGGATACTGTTGCCATGTGGATGACGGTTCACATAAAACTGATCTTAAATTGAAGCTTTATTTGAAAAAATAATTGCTAGCAGGAAGACATTTTTATTGCAGAAGAGACATACTGTGTCCCTTCTGCAATAAAGAGCTCCTTTTCTGCCTGCCAGCAATCTTCTTAGGATTGTACATTGAGGTGCACGTGCAGTCTCGGCATGTCTTGGTGCCAGAATGATTTAGCTCCTGTGTGCATGCATGGGAGTTATTTCATCCTTGTTCAGCCAGTTACAACCTGGATGAAGACCAGAAGATGTCAGTGGCCAGGAGGGACAGGTGCTCATTGCACCACTGGAGTGGAGGTAACCACTGTGGACTAATGTTCTGTTTTAAAGAGAACCTGTGCTTTAGTCTTTTGAAAAGTAAAAGTCCAGCCTACCAGCAGACACAACCATATCTAACCTTTATTTCCCAGAAAAGTAGCTCCTCTTTTCTTTAGTTACTAGGGCCTGACTTTTCCAGACTTCGGGCCGTGCTCCTCTAAATGCAGGAGCGTCTCGAGGCCGGGAGTCACCCACAGCATAGACCGGGTGACATCCCACCATGACGTCATCGTGCATGCGTGTGACATCACCATGATCATGCGCGATGGCGTCATCGCGCACGCGCAGTCATCTCATTGATGAGGAGGGGACGGTCACCCGGCGGGATGAGGTATGCCGCTGGGTCACCTCCTCTCTCCTGATGCTGTCAGGCTCTCGGTCTATGACCAAGTGCCTGACTTTTTAGAGGGGGTAACACCAAAATATCTGTCAGTCAATTTTGTGTCACCTCTCCAATGGTGTCACCCGGGTGCGATCCGCACCCCCCTTGTGACGCTGTCTAAATGCCACCACTTTGTCTAAAGAGGGCGCCTCTGCTGGTCACTGAAATAGTCTAAGTGGACAGTTGCAGGTACCCAGACTTAGCCAGGAAGTCTGGAAAAGCCAGGCTGTAAATAAAACAAGGAGATGGATATAATTAATTTATAAGTAAGCCTGCATGGTTATAATAACTTATTCAGGTTCTTGCATAAGCTTAGTCATGTCTGGCCATCGTCAAGGTGACCTGGGGAAAAAAATCATCCAGGCAAATCTGTCAACTTTTTGATGTCTTACCCTCAATATTAATCTGTACCAATCTGTTACTACCTCTGGTTACCAGGAATAATACACCTACAGAATAAAATTGTTTAAAGCTGAACTTAGGTATAAAAGACACAAATTGATGCAACTCTGAAACCAATATTACATAATTAAATGTATTTTTTTTTTAAATACAAACAGTGTAAGTACCTGAATTTGACCTGGCATCAGCCTCTTGCAGTTCCTGTACCTGGAGTGTAACAGGAAGAAGCAGTACAAGGAGCCGATCAGTTTACTGTATGTCCTGACAAGGAGCATGCCTAATGGGGGAGTAAGCAGTGTAAGAGAGATGAGCTCATCGCTGTGCTGCTTCTTATTTCACTGTCCAGTCACAGGCTAGGATGGGTCCAGGATTACCTAAGCTCAGAGGTAGTGAGTTAAATGATGCTGGCCATTAGACTGTAGACTTCTAGTAGCAGATAAAAGTACTGTGGGGGAAATCTCTAGATTGAAGGTGAATATTGCAGCAAAAACTGGTTTTGTTATCTTATCTTTTAATGGGTCAAATATTTATATTTTTGACTAGAGTTCTCTTGTAAGGATATTAGGGTTCACCATGGAGTTCTCTTGTAAGGATATTTGGGTTCCCCATGGAGTTCTCTTGTAAGGATATTAGGGTTCACCTATTTAGATTTAAAAATGCAGAAAACTAATGGAGCCGAGAACTTGCAAACACCCCTAGCTGTTGTTTAGCGTCTGACGTTATCCCCACTCACTTCCTCTTATCCATTACCGTGCACTTATCCTTTGGTCCCATTTCATGCTATTCCCCTCTGTTTCTTCCCTACCATTCCTCATTACCAGGATTCTACACCTCCCTTTATCACTGCATCCCTCATCATTAGGCACCCATCAAACACGACTAGGTAAAATCCTCATATCCACTTAGCAAGAAGCTCTTCCACCAAACCTGGAACCCACGTTCAGCTTAAACCCATGTAACGTACCCCACTCCCACTCTACCAGTTGTGAGACTATCTGTACCTAGGGTTCCCACTCAGCCAGATCATCGTCCTTTGTGTGTCATGGATTGCAGCTGAAACACCTTTGAGGAAATGTTTGCCTTATGACCTGTTCTACTGTTCATATGTGTGATAACCCTGCATTGTAATCCCCCCTTCCCTTTTTATTTTCTGTTCCTGCATCTTAATTTGAAACGAAAACATGCAAAAGACCACAAGGATTCTGCACCTATGTTGTCATGGTAATGTAATGTGTTAATTTTCCCTATATTATTATATATCACCCTAATGCAAATTCACACCTGCGAGGGATATGGAAGCTTTGCTGACAATGGACATAGAGTTGTAGTCTCTTTATTTTTGAGTCTAGAAAATTTAACTTTTTTATGTTTGTTTCTTTTTTTTGCTTAGGACACAATGTCTTCCCTTGGCGCTTATTCCCTTTTTGGACTGATTGCTCAGTTACTCCTCTCCCCTTTGGCCCTTGGGAGCGATTTCCGCTCTGCTTTCTCTGTTGCCCGTACAAGCAGCATGGAAGGAGGCCCTGAGATGGTCATCACCTTCGACAAGGTTTATGTAAACATCGGGGCTGATTTTGATCCAAAGGCTGGCATTTTCCGATGTCGCATTCCTGGGGCTTACTACTTCTCCTTCACCGTCGGGAAGTTCCCCAAGAAGAACCTGTCAGTCATGCTGATGAAGAACAAGAATGAGGTCCAGGTGATTGCTTATGATGAAAATCACCACCAAGAGCGCAAGGTGGCTAGCCAGAGTGCAATGCTGCAGTTGGATTATGGAGACACGGTTTGGCTACGGCTGCACGGAGATCCAAAATATGCCCTCTATAGCAATGTTGGGCCTTACACAACCTTTAACGGCTACTTAATCTACCCTGATACATCCTACTATTTCCAGAGCGGCAGTGACAACTACAGGCTGCAAGACTCACAAAACATGGTGACATCACGAGAGAGTTCCTCAGAGCGCAATGAAGTCTACAACAAGAATGCAATGGCAGCCGACCAACCCACAGTAAACAAAGATCCTCGGTCGGCCTTTTCAGTTGCCCGAACCAAGAGCCTCATTGGATCAGATGAAGAAAAAACAGAGCACCTGCCAATCATTTTCGACACAGAGTTCGTCAATATCGGAAGCGATTTCAATTTATCTTCTGGGGAATTCCAGTGCCGTTTGGCGGGGGCCTATTATTTTTCTTTCACCATAGGAAAAATGCCCTACAAAACCATGTCTGTCAAGTTAATGAAGAACCAAAACGATGTCCAGGCCATGATTTATGATGACAGCCACTCAAAAAAGCGAGAGATGCAGAGCCAAAGCATCATGTTGTCTCTACAGCCTGGAGACACAGTGTGGCTCTACAGCTATAGGCACGAAGGGTACGGAGCCTACAGCAACCATGGAAAGTATATTACCTTCACCGGTTTTCTGGTTTACCCAGAATTAGCGACCAAGCAGCCAACATCTGAAACAAGGCACAAGTCAGAAATCGTTCTTACTGAAATCTAATGGATACTGCCACAGTAACTGACCTTGGCATGGCAGGATTTGACAGTAGAGGAAGTAGGCACATGCTTAACGTTGCCATACAAATGTTTAAATCAGGCTTACTTCATCCACTTTTACCTGTGACACAGCTATGTGCTTATTACACCACTCATTTTGTTAAAAGCCACATTCAGGGTAACACTATCCATTTTGTCTTTGGTCACGACTGTAGCTAGATGCAATTACTGAATATCCGTTCTCTCCTGAACATACAGTGTAAGGTGATCCATGGGTAGGTTTCAGCTGATATGAAGAAAGCAACCTTCCATAAGTTGAAGGTTTCTTTAAAACGCATGGGATGGAAATGGACATAATATATTATTCATACATATAGCTGAGCAGGTGTTCTAGAAGCTTTTGCTACATTGTTAAAGTGTATGTGTAACCAAACATTTGTTTTTATTTTAAAGTACATCTAAAGGCTCCATTATGACAGTCTAAAATAAAAAGACCCAAATCCCAAAGTAAACATAGAACCAAAGCAAATGAATGAACCAAATCCTTTGTCATTTGTGTCTCATTCTCCCCTCCCAGACACTGCAGCTCACAGTGGGAGGGTTTCAGCAACAAAAGCAGGGCTGTCAATCCTGAAAGCAGTGGGCAGAACTTGGTGTGGCCAGGTGTTGATTGACAAGCTACAGGTTTGTGAATCAGCAGTGACAATGCCCTCTGCAACACCTTCTCATCCCACTATAGTACAAGCAGGCACAGCCGACATGATAGTGATAACTCTGCTTTGAAATCAGAAGCAGTGCAGCATCGTTAACACTCAGTTGACCTGCTTTATCTGCTTGTGCATTCCTCTAGACCAGTGGTAGGCAACCTTGGAACTCCAGCTATGGTGAAATAAATAAAAAAACTATCATGCATGAAGCTTTCAAAGTCATGCCTGTGGTTGTCCGAGTCTTGCAATCAGGGCTGGATTTCCCACAAGGCCCGGCCTCGGGGCAGTAGGGAGCAAAGGGGCAGTAGGGGTGTGGATATCCTATCGCCCGACACCCAGGTGGGTAGTTTTTTTAATACATTTAGCCCTGCTTCGGGCAAGCAGGGCTAAATGTAGAGCAGGGAAGTCACTGCTCGTTTTATACAAGTGATCTTGTCGATGTCACCAAGATCACTTGTATGCAGCCTGCAAGTAAAAAATAATAAGATAAATAAAGATTTAAAATGGTTAAAACAATTTTTTAAAAAAGTGATAGAGTAAAAAAATAAATTAAAATTAACCCTGCCGCCCCCGCCATCTGGTTGTCATTCTCCCTTAAGGGGGGGGGGGGGGTATGGCTGGGAGGGGGGCGCATGGAGGAACCTGGCCTTGGGGCAGCAGAAAGAGAGTAAATCCGGCCATGCTTGCAATGCTTTATGTGATTTGTAGTTCCACAATAGCTGGGGGATCGAAGTTTTGCTTCCCCTGAGGTAATGGATGCTGTATTGGGGCTTATTTATCAACAGGAAAAATAATTACATTGCCCCGGTATATGTTCATCCTGTACTTATAGAATAAAAGAAATGTTAGGGTTGCCGATGTTAATTTCTCTGCCTAAAACAGCTAATTATTGTATTGTTATATCCGCGCTGCTATATAGGATCTAATATGTCTCCCAGCTGCAGTGCTAATAGTGTGCAAAATCACCATAGAAGTATGTATATAACTGTGCACTGAGGTAATGCTAAAACAGCTAATTGTCTGGCTGTCACCCTGATCCAGAGCTCTTTATACCTTCATAGTCACAAACCTGGAACAAGTACACAGATTGGGAGATCTGGCTTCACTTACTACGGCCTTGTTTTAAGCCATACCTCCCAACTTTGTGAGATGAGAAAGAAGAACAGCTTCCAGCACAATGTGTTTAGGCAATGGACATGCCCCAGTTATGCCGGCATCATCTCCACACCGTGTACATTGCATATGTTTTCTTAAAATGCCCCCGCAAAAGATGGAAATGTCCTTTAAAGTTAGATGTCAAAAATTATTGTTAAACCCAGAATGTTTTTTTTTTCCATCATTACTTTTCCTTTATACTGTTTTTTGCAATAGCAAACAAAACAATTAAGAGATATGATAAAGGCTTGATTGCAGAATAACACTGTTGGTAGCTATATAGTAAATTTTCATAGATATCTGTACATAAGACCAAAGAGAGGGACAACTGGAGTAAGAAAGAGGGACCGAGGGATTTGGTTCATTTCATTCCACATGAATTACAATTGGGAAGCTTGTTTTAGGCCAGTTATTTAAAGCACTGCAGCCAGAGCCAGGAAGGCAGCTAGAAAATGTAGGCAGAATGCCAGCAATGGCCGCCACCATATTTCTATCAGTAAAGGTTTTCTTTTAAGGGAGAATTTGATCTGTTGCTAGGGTAACAAGAAGATTTGCTCAGAAACTTAAAATTAGAAGGCTCAGGGGTTCTAATGAAAAATTGAATTTTGGGTTATAGCTACCGAGCTGCTGCAGGTCTGAGAATAAGACTGATCATTAAACTAATGTGTGTAGCATGTAGCAGCATTAATGCTACATGCTGATTGAGAGCTTAAACCACGGGGTATTGGTTCCATCTGTTCAACGATAGATTGCTAACATTTTTAGTATCGTGACTGAGTTACTAAAAAATGCTTTTGTTTTGCCGAGACCTGTATGTGAGCTGATAAATGATCCTTGGATGTTGTGATCATTTCTTATGGCCTGAACTGATATATATTTTTTTCAGAGCACAGAAAGAGACCTCTGTTAGCTTTCTCTGCTGGGTGCAGGGTACATTGTGTGTGCCAGGTATTCAGATGGAACTCTGGATAATAAAATATGACTGAATCTTCTTTAAGTTCTCAGCATACCCTCAACTCAGCAAACAACACCAGTGACGATATCAGAGGAGCCACACTTTCCCTGGGGAATTTGGTGCTGGACTTCTGGTCTTGGTTACTATTTCTGATCTGGAAATATGAGTTACCTAGCTGTCATGCAGATCCTTTGCGTATAAATGTGGAATTGTTAAGCAAGTACAAGAAAGCAGGTCAGTCCTGAGTTCCCTGGCTGCATACTTTTTGTGGACCAGTAACTCAGGAGGTTCACAGTCAGGCAACCAACATTTAGAGAAGGAGGTCAGCAATGGCTGACCACATATGTACTGTTCATCATGATGGGCTTTCATACATAGTTCAGTGTTAGGTAAGCTAGGGCTTCATAGGTAATATCCCCACAAATTCTATGAGATTGATCTCTGATTGAATCACATTACATTTAATGTGAGTTTTCTGTAGATTCACCCCGATCACATGGTGCTGCAGTTTAATCAAATGGCAGAAACTATCAGCGATTGATCTCCTCCCTAGACTTGAATTGGAGCAGCAGTTTATTCATGAGAACCCCATGGGGTTAATCTTGAGAATAATCTCCTAACAATCACCCAACTAACAAGAGAACAAAATGTTTTTGTCCTAGGTGATTTCAATCTCTGCCGTGGTCCTGGGCTTAGATCATCAATTAGGTTAGAAGAAGTCCTGATCAAAAAGATAGCCAGCTCTGGCAGCTAGCACTTTGTTTCTCTCTCTCTTCAGTAGTGTAAGGGCCTGTGTCAATGAGCTTTTGTTTGCTTCATGTGGGTTTTGCATTCCCATACAGGTCATGATGTCATATGCACCTATCAATGAATACTCCCAAAAGTATCTCAAACTGATGCCATTAACACAGGCCTTTATACTCATAACAGTCTAGGAAAGCCTTTCTCAACCTTTTTACCATGGTGAAGGGTCCCAGGCAACCCCAGGTAAAAATAATTATATTTATAGCTCATGGGCATTGCATGATCTGTAAGATGTTGATAAAAGAATAAATAAAAGCGTAACAAATGTGGCATATTTAGCATATTTAATATGCAGAACAGACCATTTTTTTTTTTTTATCACCCCCTGCTATATAAAACCAAACAATTTTCACTACTAAAACATTAAATGAAACTAACAATGCCCAAAAAAGAAACAGACAGTAAAAATAGTAGGCCCTCTTTACATTGGTGGTCAGTGGAAACTGCCCTGCTACTTTGCTGGTCAGTGTAAAAGAGCCCTCTTGGTGAGCGCAGAGAAGGAAAAGAGAAGGGCCACCTTACATTGGTGGTGAGAAGATGAGGACATCCTTACACTTGTGATGAGAAGGACCACCCTTACATTGGTGGCGAGAGGATAAGGACAACCGTGTATTGGTGATGAGACAGGCCCCCTTACATTGGTGGCTAGAGGATAAGGACATCCTTACACTGGTGATGAGAAGGACCACCCTTATATTGGTGGCGAGAGGATAAGGACATCCTTACACTGGTGATGAAACAGGCCCCCTTACATTTGTGGCGAGAGGATAAGGACATCCTTACACTGGTGATGAGATGGGCCACCCTTATATTGGTGGCAAGAGGATAAGGACATCCTTACACTGGTGATGAGGTGGGCCCCCTTACATTGGTGGCGAGAGGATAAGGACAACCGTGTATTGGTGATGAGACAGGCCCCCTTACATTGGTGGCTAGGGGATAAGGACATCCTTACACTGGTGATGAGGTGGGCCCCCTTACATTGGTGGCGAGAGGATAAGGACAACCGTGTATTGGTGATGAGACAGGCCCCCTTACATTGGTGGCTAGGGGATAAGGACATCCTTACACTGGTGATGAGGTGGGCCCCCTTACATTGGTGGCGAGAGGATAAGGACAACCGTGTATTGGTGATGAGACAGGCCCCCTTACATTGGTGGCTAGGGGATAAGGACATCCTTACACTGGTGATGAGATGGGCCACCCTTATATTGGTGGCTAGAGGATAAGGACATCCTTACACTGGTGATGAGGTGGGCCCCCTTACATTGGTGGCGAGAGGATAAAGACATCCTTACACTGGCGATGAGAGTGACCACCCTAACATTGGTGGTGAGAGGAGGACATCCTTACACTGGCGATGAGAGTGACCACCCTAACATTGCTCAGAGAATAGGGACATCCTTACGCTGGTGATGACATGGGCCCCCCTTACATTGGTGCTCAGAGAATAGGGACATCCTTACGCTGGTGATGACATGGGCCCCCCACTTACATTGGTGGCAAGATAAAAAGAACCCCCTTACAGTGTCTGTGAAAGTAAAGGCCCCCCTTACATTTGTGGTCAGTGTAGGATTGTCTTACATTGGTGATCAGTGAAGAATAGCCCACTATCATTGGTGGTAAGGTAAAAGAAGAGACTCCTTTACATTGGTGCTACACCACTGGCTCTGCGAAGTTACATTGGTGCTGGATCTATGCAGGCACCATCATGAAGGTCAGTGGTAGGCAAACTCCGGCCCACCAGATGTGGTGCCATTACAAATCCCATAACTGACAGCCACAGACATGACTCCCAGAGCTGGAGGGCCAGAGTTTGCCTATCCTGATGTAGTAGATCAATCTAGCTCAGGATTAAGGCACCCACAGCAACCTCCAGAGGAACCCAAAGATTTTTAGAGTACCCAGTTCTGAAGCTGGTCTAATAGGAAATCTTTAACTGTCCCCCTAACCCTTTTTGGCCATTAAGTATTTTTGAAGCAGGTTATGATAGTGCTTTCAAGCAATGGACCACAGGTTCAAAAACACAGAATGGTGCACAAAACTCACCTCCTACTATGGAGATGCTCTTAAAACTTCCCATGTATGTCCACTGTTAGCTATGTACTTCAGTGCTATCACAATGATTTAAAGAGAAGAATCCATTTTCACAGCACTGGTGGCATCCATGTAAAACATATACAGTAGTTGCTCTTGCTTGTTCAGCTCTAGATCCACACTCATCTGTGTCAGTGAGCATGTATAGAAGTGTGAACTTTGTCACTACCTGCATGAATAAGGGGGAAAAAAATTAACTTACTGTTTCATAATTCATCCTGATTGTACCAAGAAACAGGGCACTGGAACCTGGAATGTATTGTAAAATGATGTAAGAGTGTACGATACTCTGCGCAGCAACAGACAGCTGTACAACGCTTGTCAAATCAGCAGATTAAAATTGTTTTCTATTACCGTGTGTGTTTGTTGCTTTTAGATCATTACCAGCGTATGTTTATGCAAATAAGGGTGATTTCATTTCGACGCGTCCTCCGGGGAAGTTATTTCTGACTAGAGCGGTTAATTAAAACGGCTAATGAACATTCACATCACTGATTAGCAAAAATCATAGGACAGTGTAGCAAATACCACATGTCAGTGACACCAATATTCATCATTTTCTGCAGGTGTCGGGATAATAAGGATTGTCAGAACAGCTCAGGCTTGATTTCTTTCGTTTTCTTTTTTCCCTGCATGTGGACCGCATCAAGTTGTTAGAGAAAAACACCAATTGGTACAGAATTGCTGCATAAGTCAGTTTAATCATTCGGTATTATTAAGAATCACCTTTTCTGCAGGCAGCTGTGAATTTTGCTGCCAGTAAATTTAAACTCAGGAGTTAAATCTTAAAAATACATTTGTGGACCTTAACTATTAACAACAATGCATCTTATTTGTGTATCACTCAGCTGTAGATCCTCCAATCATCTCTGAATTGGTGCTGACACTGTCCTTCCTTCTGGTGGGTGGCTACTTTTGTTCCCCATGGTCCCTGTGTGTTGTAAAGTAGTCACCGCTCCAAGCTCGCTCCCGTGATGGACTACAAATCTCAATACAAATGAGTAAACTAAACGTGAGATTGTAGTCCATCACATGGGTGAGCTTGGAGCGGTGACTACTTTACAGCATCCACAGGGACCATGGGGAAGAAAAGTAGTCACCCTCCAGAAGGAAGGACAGTGTCAGCACCAATTCAGAGATGATTGGAGGATCTACAGCCGAGTGATACACATATAAGGTTCAGTTGTGATAATAGTTAAGATACATAAATGCATTTTTAAGATTTAAAGCCCAAGTGTAGTGTCACTTTAAAGTTGAATTGCACTCAGATATAAAAGACACAGCTCTATACTCATTAAAGTGCAGCTGAAGCCAAAACATTGCTTTTTAGTTATGGATAGAGTGGAGAATCAAGTGGTCATCTGGACAGCAATAAATGGGAAGTTTTCTAATGGTGACTCTAATTTTGGTGACCCTGCCGACCACCTACCTCCCCGAGTATACTGAATGACCCGTTTTTTTTTCCTTCCCTGATGGCACATTGGGCATATTCCAAGATGATATTGCAAATCTTAATGGGGCTGAAATTGTGAATGGCTCACGGAGCATGAGACATCATGTTCACACATGGAAATGAGGTCTCGTACTCCCTGAACAATTACAATTTGAGTAGGTTCGGGTGAGTATTATTTTATTTGAACCTAGACACAAAGAGTAGGGGATCTCGCCCCCCCCCCTCCGGAGTTCTTTAAATACTTACCTGGTACCTATCCATGGCAGTACACGATCCCTCCCTTGTCTTTAAAGTACATAGGAGAATGGCAAGGCGGGCTTTATCACAAGCCTTTCTGCAGGTATTTCTTGGTCCTGTGAGTTGGATCACCAACCAAAAGGATGCTGCCATGGATAGGTACCAGGAAAAGGAAAATTGCAGAAAGTATACAATTCTTCATTTTCAGACATAAAAAAAAAAAAAGTATGACATAACCCCCAAAGATGTTGCAGCTCACATGTGTCAGTGTCCCTGTTGCAGAGATCGCTCACTGTCCAGACAGGAAGTGAGGAGAAATCTTCTCAACATGGGGAATAGATTGGGAAGAAAAAAAAAAAACTTGACAGAAGCTCTAACCCTTCACCAGTCTTCAGCAAATTAAGTTTTGGAAGGAGTTTGTATTAAAAGCTTAAATCCGGTTAAACAAATATTGTCCTGAATACAAGGGGCCTGTATATTCCTACTTGGATTCTGGTGCCCTATGTGTATTTCCAGGCAGCAATCCAGCATGAAATAACTTTGCCCTTGTGCAGGACTTTCCTGAAATATAGACCGGGCACTGCTGTGCTTTCTTCTACTTGAGCAGGGTGACTGGACTTGTATCCACCCCCTGCAGGCAGTCTATACGAAACCCAGTAATGTTGCCACTGCTATTTTTAGAAGGTAATATTTAGGTTTGCAAAGGCATTTGGTGCACATATTGGATTTATATCATTTTATCTATTAAGGATATTAAAGTATTTGTGTCCACTGTCCAGCTTTAAATATTGTCAGAAGGGAGGAGCCACTGAGCACCCAATGGTGGCTTTCTCTGAATACCATCACCTAAGCATACATCACTTATTTTTGAATAATTTTATTTTGATCAAATATATATTTGTGTATATGTCCATTATCAGCACCCAATCTCTTAGGTGTAGCTCTACTACTGTTCACTTCTGGTAGATGTGGATGATAAATACAAAGCAATGATATGGACCAGGTGTCATGGGACTCTTCATACATGTCTGTTAGAGGTTCCCTCTGTAGTCACTTTACCCAACATCTTTCTAAATTAGTGCCTTAAAGTCTTCTCATGATCTCTGACACATTTTCTCGCAGAAGAAACCATTAAAGTTTATTTTATGTACATACACAGCACAATACAATTTTTCAAAGTGTCTGCCACCTCTATTTTGTATCGCCCTTCTTATCTCCAGCCTCCAGCTTTGGGCTTTCTTGTGCCTCCCGGTGGGCTGGGAAGGCTTCCCAGGGGCTGCTGAGATCAAATTTCCGGAATTCCTGTGACAGTTGCACTGGCTCTGCTACCACGCGTTTCACCTCATCATCATAACGGACCTGGGAGAATTCAAATGATAATGTTTTAAATAAAAATGTTATCTTCAGTAAAGTTGCTATTCTAGCCAATACTTTCTATTCCTTATTTTAACATATAGTCAGGAAGGATTAAAATATGTTGTTTTTTTTCCTGTCTGTGTCACCACTGACGAATAATGGGATATAAAAACTGTTATAGTTGACAATCCAACACAAGGTGAGGAAAAATCTTCCAAAAGGGGACACATGTCCTGGTGATAACGGTGTTAGAGGTGGTGATAATTACTATGGATGAGCTTGGGATCTGGCAGAAGGAAGCGGTCAGTGGCAGCCAAATCAGCTGTAGCCAGGGCATGCTACATCCCATAGCTGTGCAGATCATTGACCTTATATGGCCACATGACCAAATATCGACACGCAGTCATATAAGATCAATATCACCAGGGAATATCCCAACTCCAGCTGATGGGGCTGCCAGTGACATCTTCTTTATGGGCCCAGATAAGCTGGGGTTTGGTCTTACCACTTTGGATAAAATTTCTATTGTATCCCTGTAGCAGTAACTGAAGGGTAAGCTCCTCAAAAGGGACACAGGCAGCAAATAAGATGACAGGGATTTTCCCCATTTTCTACTCTATACAACACAAAACACATATGTTTTGCCTAGAGATACACTCCAGTTCCTGAGTCTTTCTAAGGTCATTTCATGTGACGAGCAGCCTCAGTTACCAATATGGATGCTCAGGAGACAGGAAAGGGTGAGGCTTACTTGACTACAAGAATAATTGTTTGCATATTACTTCACCTCTGCTTGAAAATACAAAGTGTAAAAACACCTGCATTTTAATTCACAAAAGTGGAAGCCAGCCCTTGGTTTAACCACATTGGCTGCGATGCGGTTAGTTATTAGCAGAGGTGCAGATTGTGACTTTCAGGTCCATGACTGAGTGGGCAGCAGGAAGGTATATCATAGCTTAATAATTTCACCATAGTAATTATTTCTGGTGTAATGTTGCTTCAAGGCAACTTACCTCCACATATCCAGAGAGAGGGAAATCTTTTCGGAAAGGATGACCTTCAAAGCCATAATCTGTGAGGATTCTTCTCAGATCTGGATGATTGGCAAAAAACACGCCATACATGTCCCAAACCTGCAAAAAAATATTAAAAACATGGAAATATTTTGTTACCACTGACAAAAAATAGAACTGCCTGTACAGCAATAATGAACTAGAGATGCCATACAATGTAACATCCAGTATTACTCTACTCCTATACATGGAGTGTCTATACGCAGATTATTCTGCAGGACAGTCAATTGTAACTGGCCCATGCACAGTAAGAGGACCTATAGTCAGGTGTGTCAGTATCAACATAAATGACCCGGTACACCTGAGCAACCTTAATTGTACTCCAAAGTGAATTATCATAAAGTGTTTTATTTTTTATGAGCGTCATTCAGGGCAAAGTGACAGCATCTGTATAAAGGCCCACTCCCAATACACTTGTATTCACCTTGCCAGTACTCTCCCCTCACAGCTGGCACTAAAATCCCCAATGTGAGCTGGTGACGGATACTAGGGGGTGTGAAAGTGCTTTGGCTTAGTAATCGAGTGCAAAACCTGAGCACTTTTACATGCAGACCACAGGTTCGCTCATACCTGAAAGGTGCTCTCAACAGCACTCAGTATAATAGCATCACTTTCGCTACTCTCCTGAGAGCACGCATAAAAGTGTCCTGACGTACGCGGTTTGGGTAAGCGGCACTGATGCTGTACTGAGTGCTATTGAGTCAGATCACCAGAATGGAGGGTTGGAAATTGTTTGAACCAACCTATTTAATAAGAGGTCAAAACATGCTGGTGAGTGTGTCCGCGCACAAAGCTGTAGGCACAAGGACTTCAGTGGTCTTTTGCACAGATGTAAAAGAACTCATTATGAATTGCTAATATTACATTGTTTAGAACATGTCTAAGGAATTTTTGTAGTAAACACTTCGTAATATTTTGTTGGACTGGAAACTTTTTTGAATGTAGATTATGCAAAGAAATGCGCTGTATTTTTTGCTGTCCTTCCTTCATCTTTTGTGATAATCTGTACAGCTGCTATTAGTAACAAGGAGCTTGTAGGGTAATACAGCAATTAAGCGTACAGCACTGTGGATTTTAAGTAGATTTAGTCACTTTCGATATAATTAAAACAGATCAGAGTACAAAGCCAATGCCCACATTACATACCGCAGACAGAGACAACGGCAAATGAATGCTCACCTCTCTCTCGTACCAGTTGGCTGCTTTGTGTACTGACACAATGGACTCCACAGGAGTAAGTTCATCTGCGTAAGTCTTAACACGAATCCTGGAGTTAAATTGCAAAGACAGCAGGTTGTACACGATCTGAAAAAGAACAAAGAATAAAATGAAATAGCCAACAGAGGACAAACCTCAAGGGAGAGAGTTAAAGGAGCACACAAAGGCTGTTTGAAAAAGACAACTTTTTCAGTTGTATTAAAAGGAGAACTATGAGATGAGTGATTTCCACTCACCTCATAGTTCTAGCCGACCTGTGACAATGAGACTGTCACAGGTCGGCTCAGTAGATCGGGAGGTGAGCGAACACATACCAGGTTCGCTCACCAGCGCGCGCTGACGGGGAGAGGGGGGGGGGGAGGGGGCGGTTCCAGCTGGCTCTGCCTCTAGATAGGCAGAGCCAGCTGTCACTCACGCAGCTGGGCGGATCCCGATGTCCAGGTCGGGATCCGCTCCGGCTGCGGCGTCTCAGTATACCGCGAGCTGTAGGGTAACGGGAGGACGCTAGTTTGTGTCCTCCCGTTACCCTAAGGAGAACTATGGGGAAAAACACTGACCCCATAGTTCTCCTTTAATTTAAACCTAAAAAGGTACAGATTCAATACATTTATAGTACTCACACTGTTTTTTTTGTCATTTGCAAATTTAAAATATACCCTTTGTATCACTGTGACAATAATGCAGCATTATTTCTAGCGTGAGGAAGACCTTTTTTTCTAGCACCTTAAGGCTTTGTTAACTTTGCACTGGATTGAGATTTAAACACGGTTCTTCAGGCACCATAGCTCAATGTTTCAGTGTCTCAAGGCACAGAAAACAACGGGCAGCTGCAGTCTGACTCTGCAGACAAGTGTTTGGCCAGCTGCACTGCAAAGCTTCACCAAGTGAACCTCATAATGGAAAATGAAAAATCTGGCTTAAAAGAGAACTACGGGCAAACCTTTTTTGGACATATTTCTCTTTAGGGTCACAAGAGGAAATTTATTAAAGGGTTATTAAACCGTTGCGGGTTTTTTTTTTGCATATATCTACTGCTAGCGAGCAGTAGATATATGCAAAAACGTTTTTCTTTTTTTTTTAAACAAAAACCTTTTGAAACAGGTTTAAACTTACCTGTGTCTCCACCACGCGCTCCCGTCCGAACATCTGAAGAGTCTCGGGGGCCCGCAAAGGATCTTGGGGCGGTCGCATGCGCAGTTCAGATGTTCGGCCGGGAGACGAGGAGAGACACAAGGTAAGTATATGGAGCAGCGTGCACCCGCACAGACACCGTGGGACATCAGAGAAGAGGAGTCAGCGCTGGATCGGAGACTCGCACCAGTGCTGGAGGGACAGCTGAAAAGGACAGTAAAGAAGATGATCGAATAAAGAGGCATCATTTAAGGTAAGTCCTTACACTAACATTGGGTGGGGGGGGGAGAAAAAATTGCCTTTAATGTCACTTTAATGTCCTCCTGTGATCCAAAACTCAGCATATAGCGGGCTATGGCCTGCTATATCCTGACAGTGCAGAGCTGCACTGCACCCGGGAAAGATGCCGACAATATTGTTGAGATCCACCAATACATTTGGATGCATTGCCTTGTAGCAAAGCTAAGGAATCATTTTTCATATCAGTCCAAATAGATTTCAATAGCTGGCTTATTTCACAAAGGTTTGTTCAGGGCCATGCTAGCCATTGCAGAAAGTGTGGTCTGACCAAAAAGTCGCTCCGCCCAGATTCAACAATGACATTCAATAAAAAAAAAGTTGGAAACTACAGGTAAGGGGGGGAAATAGCATAGGGACTTTTGGGTTTCACAGTTAAAACAAGGAAATGCGAGCATGATATAACCTAATATCATGCAAGTTTCCTGACAATTTTGGTTGTGTCTGGACTTCTCTAATGTCAGAACTCACCTCAAAGCGGTTCTCTTTTGTTGGGATATCCACAGCAGTCAAATCAGCCAAGTTTTTGAACTGAGCATTTGTGTGGTCACGAAGAAATGTTAGGACTGGTATAACCCCATCAGGGTGGATCATAATCTCCAGTTCTCCGAAACAAGTCACCTAAGAAACAATACCAATGATGAAGAAAATACAACACGCATAACGTCAAGTTTAACATGCAGCCTGAATCAAACTGAAAGGAAAACTAGAGATTAACATTGCACAAAATGATTTTCTACATATATAAAGCACATATCCTGATGTTAATTCCATATAGTGGTCCAATATTACACAGTGTTTCACAGATTTTTAGTCTCTGCACTGGTGGAGTATTACAAATTATTGTCCGCCCCACTAATCTATGAGCCAGCTGACTACAATGGTTGCAATTTTAAAAGGCAAATTCAACCCCCCCCCCTTTTAGATAGAGTGTGTGTCAGGTTTTAAAGCTGTATATGACCCCACTGAGGAGATTTCTCCACCCCCCTCCCCCACTTTCTGTTCTGTACGACATCCGTCACCTGGACAGGAAGTTTGTGGATATCTCTCCAGCAGGAAAACAGACGGCAATAAAACCCCACAGAGGTTTATCACTTCTCTCTACTGGAATGTTTTTTAATATCACATCCCTTAGCTGGGCTCAACACAGAATAGAAAAAGTATTTAAGAGCCAGAAAAAAAGGTTGGCAAAAAGGGACTTCTGCTGAAAGACTACCTCCCGGTGATGCTTTAAAAGACAAGCAGTAATTTGTTAAATCTTAAAAATACATTCAAGTCTCTAATGGCCCCTGTGTGTGTTGTAAAGTAGTCACCGCTCCAATCTCACTCCCATGATGGACTTCAATCTCATGTTGAGTTAGCTCATTTGTATTGAGACTGTAGTCCATCAGGGGAGTGAGCTTGGAGCGGTGACTACTTTACAACACAGCAGAAGCAGAGACACCGGCACTCCAATATAAAGGTGGAAGGTCTTATTTATTGAAGACGTGCAACATATATAGATGCAACGACCATTTCAGGGTCACGCAGGACATGTCACTGCTTGAGGAAGGGGATCCTGCGTGACCCCGAAACAGTCGTTGCAGCTATGTGGTATGTTGCACGTCTTCAATAAATAAGACCTTCCACGTTTATATTGGAGTGCCGGTGTCTCTGCTTCTACTGATACATGACAGTTGCCACCCGTTGACCACCGCTGCACCCATCCGATCATTTTGGAGTTAAGCGGTCAGGAGTGTGATGGGTTCATGGACTTTGTACTTTACAACATACACACAGGGACCATGGGGAACAAAAGTAGCCCCCCTCCAGAAGGATGGACGGTGTCGGCACCAATTCAGAGATGATTTGAGGATCTACAGCCGAGTGATACACAAATACATTTTTGTTCATAGTTAAGGTACTTGAATGTATTTTTTTTTTTGTGTTTTTAAGAACACCTTTTAGTGTCACTTTCATTTCTAAAGTTTCTTTATTGGGAACTGAAGCGAGGACCACCGAACACAAGTCATGGGTATGACCTGTAAGTCAATGTGTTCTTTATTCTAGATATGAAGCCAAAAATGGCAGAACTTCAATAGTCCAAATTTCAGCACATTAGCTCTAACAGAAAACTGATGGAGATATTTTTGGCAGGACGTGGTAATGATTTCATGTCTATATGAGGCCCATCACCCATCTAGGAAAATGGTCAAAAGGAACACCATCCCCCCACACAGACATAAGGAACATTTGTCTGAGTGAAGCTGAACAGCCGATTCTGATGTCACAAATGTATATGTCACACCTACTAACCTGCACTTGCTGAACATACTTCGGCAGAATATCAGCCACATATTCCCCAAACGCAGACAGCTGATTCTGCAACACTGTATTGGCAGGCCGAACCGTTGCTGAAAGAAGAAAGGACATTAATAAGACAAGAAGGAAACAATGACACTGAAGTGACTAATTCTTTGTGAAAACCTGGCTCCGGGCAGAGGTTTTTGTTTTAAGTTATGGAT